GGAAGGAATTTGCCGAAGTGCAGGGGAAAGCAGTTTTATAAATGGAGACGAAGTGGCAGGTGCGGAAGCGATAGATACAGATGGATTGTACACCATCGACGTCGAGTGTATGATGCTGTAGCATATGTGGCCATGAGTGCCTGAGTCAGGTAGACCTAGTTAGCCACGAGCGAGGCCTCTCGGGACCATTATCAAAAAGACGGTAGGGCTGGCTGAGGGCAATGTTTACGGAACCCTGGCAATGTTGTTTGATACCCTGACTACAATGTATTTATATGTATATATATATATGTGTGTGAGATAAAGTTCTGGTAAAGACTCTACAATGTTTTTGCAAGTTAGGTAACTCAAACATCGGATCCGGATAACCGTATGGTTTACATTAATCTCATAACAACACATTACCAGAATCACAAAAAGTTGCGCTTCTAGCAACATTACATTTCAAAAACTGGCGACTCCTTATAAGTGGCCGCCGATTATAGACTCAAAATGACGCATGTATAAACTGATGTCCTAATTTTCCAGGATGTCTTATTTAGCTCGTAAATCATGGAGGCCAACTGATAGTTAATTGCGGCAATATTTTTGGGTCAGACGGTAGCGCAGTAGGGTGCACTTGCTTTTACCTCCCCGCATTATCACTCAGCGGTGTTCCAACAAGTTTAATTCACGGAGATTTTGATGTCACTTGTTACGACAATAAACTGACTCATGCTAGTATACAGACAGTGTTCAGTCAACGACCCTAAACCATACAGTGTCCACTGTGAAGTGTATCACAACATATCGTTATCTATATATATGATCAAACAAACTCGGACACGGTCCGCGAGCTAGATCCGCCCCCTCGCACCTAGTTCAATGACTCCTGATCTAGAGGTAAGAAAGATGACGTGATCGGCATAGACCTTTAGATTACCAACTCACCGCGCATTAGACTATAATTTAACGTATTTATTCGTTCACTATTCCCAAGGTTTGAACCTGTTTCCGTTTTTAATCGGCAACTACCCACCATCTTATTGAAACTACTCATTGACGGTTATTTCTATTTGCTTGCGTTACGCACAGCGTTGTTATGTATCTCTGCTTACCAGTTCTATATTCATTGTAACTGGGCTTTTGCTGCAGTGTACATCCAACATTATGCTTCCTTACGCTTGACGTCACGTTGGCTACACCTGGTACTTTTCATCGGAATATTATTCCTGGGTCTTGCTACAATACCTGAGTGGTGAAACCATCACAAGCGTACACATGCAACGCATGGGAATAGCATGATAACGAAATAAACTTGAAGTTGCCTTTAGCTCTCGCGCCTTGATGACGCAGGTTACGTTGATCAACCATTCCGTGTGTTTCCTCTTATAACAATAAAATGTAAAGTACTGACCAGAAAGCGCATGATTAACAAAAGGCATGAAGTAAAAAGTTCTTTGGAATGCACATGTTCTGGCCAAACTTCAAAAAAATACTTTGTGATTTCACACCTATCGAAAAATAGTCACAAATATTTCTCTTGATATCAAGCATCCTTGCCCAAAAAGGCACGGATCGCTTTTATATGTGCAACAAGATCACGCGTGCAGGGTGGTTAATGGTTGAATGTCATACATTTCGGGATTTTCACTGAAGTTTCATATCCGAACTTGACCATCTCCGTTTTGCTTCCGGTGCACATCAGGGGTACCATGGAGGCCTCGGGCTCATAGGACGGGAAGAAACGTAAGAAGGGAGTCAGTAACCAACATCAGACGAGCAACACACGCTCGTGACTAATAGCCTAGATTAACACAAGTCAAGTTATCTGCACTTGGTGCAGTTTCGCTCATATGGGAGAAAGAAGGCTAGGATTAGAAAATCCACTTAGCTGCATGTGAATCTTTAAAGCTACATATTTATCAACTTGGTAATGTATGGTAGCAGGCACATTGAGTCGTCTTAAGGCTGAGTAAATTGCTTGGACATTTGTAGATCTAGTTATCGAATTGGTTTGATCAAACAAGATGTACTGTCACAGAAATGTCATGAAACTAAGTGGGCCCAGTTGCTTTCCCAGATATACAGTTTTACTATGTCCGGTCAACCATTATCAGAACGGTAGCAGACGATCAAAGACCAGCCATGGGATTTTGAACTTAATAATGAAATCAATGTTGCCGAAAGCGCCAAATTTGTTCAACTGCTTCGAGGCTGCGTAATTGCTGCCAACAGGTCTGCGTAAACGCACCAGACATTCGGATAAATCGTTACTTTAACTTTGCGGATGCAAAAAATAGTATTTATCGAATAATTTAGAATTGTTGAGTGGTAACCCTTGAAAATATTCGGCTTGGTACAGGCAATTTGCCAAATTATTTTACGTTTCGTCGTTATGTAGATAAAACTGGGGAGTTTAAGCTGAGGTGACAGGAACGCAAATGAAGGAAGTCCCATCATAAACATGGTTTATTCAAAACAAACAATTCGCAAGTTGGTTTTATGTTTATAAATTATAGTTACTCTGAATTCATCGGGAAGGCCATGGGGAGAGGAGAGATTTGACCAGAGTTAACGCGATATTTTTAATCTATAACGATTCAATGTTTAATTTATTGGCCAATAGGTCATAAACTGACAAGCGCATCTAAGTGGAAAATTCCACAGCATATGCATTTTGGCACACATCATCTCAAGAAACGTGTTCCATAGAATACGGCAAAGGTTTAGATTGAAATTAGTGTGGAATTTTGTACCTGACCTTTCCTTGTGGGAAGTGTGCTAGCTATGCTTCTGTTCTACCAAGAGATTGGTTTGGATTTAATTAAAATGTATGCATTAAATTCGCTTCAGTGCTTGATACTTGAGGTGATTGGGGCACGATTACTTCCAGAGCAAAAGTGATGATTTTTATTTATTTGAATCCGTAGTGTAATTGACCGATTTATGCAGTGAATCTTAGTAGATAATTACTGAGTGAGGACCGTACATTATTTAAGGCAAGGCAGTAAGCTTTTATATGTTTGAATAAATCGCAAGCTGCATTCACTTGTGCTGAGCGGCACAAGTTTCGGTTCATTTGAATGGAGCTGTACCTCCAGTTCCTTGATATTCCAAAACCATTAGATACGCCCTTTTGATTACTGTGATCAGGGGGTATTATCGGATGCAACATTCTAATAGCACGTAACATGGTACCACGTTGATCAGGGACAACACCTGAATTCTCTACGTTATTCTTGTTTATATGACCATGGGCAAAATAGCATGCGGTGTCAGGAAGCCTTCGCACTTACCTTTTCTCACTCGCCACAGCTGTTGATAATACGGTTGTATTCTAACTTGCACTCCTTGGGCAGATTAAGGTTGAGATGAAAGATGGTTTTATTTCCCTCCGTACCGAACAATTTAACCATCTTTTAACCACATATTTTAGTCACTTGGACTAGGAACTCGTTAACTTCCTTACTATACGTTGCCTGCAAATTTCTGTGGCACTTAGTTAAGATTATCCTCAACGCTTGCTCTACTATGAGTTAAAATTGCAATGCGAATAGGTGTGTCTTAAGAGTGCGAAAAGCAAGAAGCCGATTTTGCGGTGTGGCACGAAAAACGGGCAATACTGGGAAATAAAGCAAACCTGATGCTATCGACAGAACAGATCGACTTGTGACTCATAGTAACTCTTTGTTACGTTTCAACAATCAAGTTATGGTGTGGAGGTGTTTCGGAGTTGCTATTTAACAACACTAACAATCGACGACCGGTGTCGTCCTCGTTCGGACTCGTCAGGTGGAGATAACATGAGACTAGAGTGGAGATCGGGCTTCGTGGTTATCGGCTGAGGCCTTAATCACAAGACCACTGAGATCTGTAAGCATGGCTTGACAGAACGATTACATGTTTTAACGGGAATTTAGAGAATTTGTCTTGGGGTTGGTTTGCGACATGCCATCTTCACTGGGACAGTGAGTTACATTGAAGTAGACCTCGGTCATTCCCATCACAAGAACCGTATAAGACGATGTGGGGTACGGTTCCTCTGCTCAAATGGTGTTTCACAAATGACAGATTTTTCCAATTTGTTCATGACACTGATTTCTCATCACTGAGGATTGATTTATTTTAAGATAAACTATAGAAAGATTAGTTAAAATTAATACACAAAATCTATGGACCCTGTTAAAACTACGGTGATTCGAATGCAGCACCAAGATATTTGGTAGATAGTAGTATATACACATATATATAACCTTTGTGTAGCATTTTCTCTCTCTCATCAGTAGTACACATTGTTTGTTTTGCAAGCCATTTTTCTACTACTCGTTTGCTTAGATCGGTAAGATTCTAAAGTTTATTTTAAACCTGTTAGATTTCCCCTGTTCTCATTTAGGCCTTATTTTGTTTTTGGCCACAGGAATTGATCTCTGTGCCTTCCGAAACCAGTTCGTAATTACGAAGCCGTAGATGAACTATTAGTAAGAGCTAGGCTGCTTATCATAAGCAGTGTTTATTGCAAAAAGACTTCCCAATTCACACTTTTCATTAATCACGGAAATTTATAGCTGTGTTCCTTTTTGCATAAATTATGCCTGCAATTGCTATCCACTGTCACTTCGGATTAACTGCTTTTTAATGTTGCTTTATTTTAATTTCACTGACTACACTCACGGCATGCCGAACATATTTTCAAATTCTGTTCAAAAGCGAGGCCAGGTACAAAAGCTTTATTGACGGAATTGACGAAGCACTGATAAGGTTCCGCTCACGGATTTAACTACATTTCCTACCATAACCTGCCCTTAAACACCCCTGAAAACTTATGAGCTTTCTAGAAATATTTCGACTGCTCTGTTGTTCGTTCCGCAAGTTGTGCACTTGGTATGTGTAGCGACATTGACTATTCTATAATGGAGGCACTGTTACCTGGGATGCAACATTCGTTGGCTGAATATACAGCCTTCCAACTGGCTATGGTCAATAGCCAATCAAAGCAGGGTATCTGAGACCATCGATTCACATGCGCCAATTGCACATCCGGTTGCATAGGCGCAGTGCCTGGTGCAACATTCACTGGTCAATGCAGTGTGAGTTTGAGGTGAACTGGCCCATTTCGGAGGTATAATACACCTACAAATATATTAATGACATTCGTTGCTCCCGCTCGGAGACCACAAAATTCCAACACATGGGAAAGTGTTGAGTATCCTTGGCGCTCTCCAGCGCTGCGAGACTTAAATGATCAAGGTTTTTGGTTCACTGACGATTGTGGTGTTATTAATTGCACGCCGATTCCATCTTCTAACAAAGCTTTTGGAAATATGATCAATAGTACTGCACGCTTGATTAGTTATGACAATTTGCTGAACACAACTCCGAAGAGTCCGGGGCACAATTTCAATAGTTCTCATTATGAGGGCAGTTCAGAACATAATCAAATGCATCAGAGAGCGACACCAAATCATAGCCAAGAAGCGCCACAACATCAGTCTATGTTTGACTTGGATAGACCAAGAAATCCTGATCAGCACAATACGAGTAAAGACCAGTTATACAGTTATGCGTCAGATCATTCTTACCACAGCGTCCAGTGGATTTCAAATCACGCGGAAAGGATGGATGTCCGAGCTGAATCTACTGCTGCATTTGTGAGATATACTATTCAGGAATTAATGCAGCAGGATTGTAGCATGTGTCCAGTCAACTACCCTGTGGACGCTCCTTCCCGTCTTGTCCGTGTTGAATGCCGGAAACCTGGGTGTCGTTGTGTGTTAAAAAGTGAACCAGCATTAGCTCTAAAAGTGGTGCCAAATGTCACTTTGGTTCAAGGTGAATGGTCTCACTCTGGTCGTGTGCTAATTCATTCCAAGAAAGGATATTACGCGAACAGTAACCATCTGGACTTGGTGACTAGTAAATTACCTCCTCCTTCACATATCTCAGCTGCTGTGGTTCTCACAACCTGTTGTCCGTCTTGGTTCGAACTAATCAGCGGATCTCAAGGTGGGTCCAACGACGCCAACTCATTAATTTATCCCAGTGTGCCTGTTTGGTCAAGTTCCAAAGCAGTGTGGCGAGCAAAACCAGAGTATTTTGTGCTTCTTAAACAAACCCCATGTTTTTTAGCTTTGAGAAGGCAATCGATTTTGACGAGTTCTTTAGATGTGTCTAACCAGAACCAGACGATGATATCAATTGATGTAGATAATGTGGTCTATCTAAAGTCAGGTGCAGTATTAAAGCTGATTGACTGTTTTACCTGTCGCCTTGTGCATCATCAAGCCTCCATTCAGAATCCACATGCATCGAATAGCTTGTTGAGCAGACACCATGTGAAAACAGCATCTATGCTTCAATGTGTTGTGGTTGGAGACAAGGCACTCTCTTCTGTGGCCTCTGCAGCTCTAGATTTACCGGCACACGATGCATTGCACTGGTTCTCCGACGGTCCCAAGTTAGTTTATTTGTCACTCGAGTTAAAATCACTTTGTTGCAGTCCTGTCTCGGTTAAAATACCTGTCCATGGTCAACTTCACAGTAATCAAAGTTCCGAAGTGGGCGAAGCTGGTGTTTACAGTATCATATCTCTCCTCACGCATAACAAACTACCGATGGTAGTCCGCCCGGTCACATGTCTGCGCCAAAGCGATCTAACTATAGTTAGTCAAATCAATGAAGATCAATCAGGTGAAACGGACCAGTTCTCTAACCAACCCGTGCTTCGGCTCGGCACTTGTTATCACGGTGACTTGATATTTCTGGAACCGATTTCCGAGTGTTTGGATCCCGTAAAAATTGCTCAAAACTCAAACTATGGTGGTGGAGAACAAAATGCGTCGCTGAACAGTAGATTCTTTGTTGTCACCACTGATATGCTCAGTCAGCATAACTTTTGTGTCCTTGATTCGTTATGTTGTCCACAGTATGATCGTGAGCTAAACGTACATGCTGCCCGAGTAGCTCACTTTCTGGCAGCTTGCCATCCGGCTGAAAGCTTAGCCTATTTATTGAGACATTTGGAAGACATTACACAGAGTTCAACAACTGGTCCCTCACACGTTCCACTCAGCCGGACACTAGGCCCTGTTGGAAGTGTGTCTGCCTACGCTGTTGTTCAGGCGGCAATCGCAAGTGTCGCAGCCGCAGCCAAGCTTGCGACGGAAGACAAGAGTGAGGGTGAAGTTGACCCTATCTACTCCCACGAACTTCTTTACGATGAAACGTGCGGCCATCGTAGACCAGCTTCACTACACAAGAACCAACGATTTCAGTCTGCAAGTTGCCTCACAGATTCCGGGCGACATTCGTCATGCATGTCTTCCTCACTTTTGGCAATGGAAACTGACCAGATGAATGCAATGTGTGACGAACTGGAAGACATATACTATTACGTCCGAAATGGAAAGTTCCCAGTTCAATCTAGATCCATGACCTCTTTAGTTCACCATTTTACCCCACCAATTCGTGGCGAGAGAGCACCGCTGACATCCGCTCCAATTTCTCCACAACCACTGAAAGCAACACACGACCTTCGAAAATGGATTCCAAATAACAGCCCTAGTGGACGACCATCAGCTTATTGGCTACAGCTACAAAATTTAAGATACATAAATTCCGATAAACCTACTGCAGTGTTTGATCAAAATCGAACGGATCGTGGTTCAAACAATATTGTGCAAAACGGTTCACATGTGACACAATATGCTGCACTCGCAAGCGGTGGATATGCGATCAGTCCTGAAAAGCAAGCAGTTGTGCAATCACAATTCGCTCATGCGCACATTCCTGCGAGATTCGTAAATCCAGCAATTCGCAATGAAAATTTATCAACTCTTGAAAGAATTTGTAGGCCGTCTCGTGTCCTGCTGAACAGAAACATACCCGCAGCCGCAAAACTCCCTACCATATTAACGTCCAGTGTTTCACAAAATCTCGCACCTCAAGGATGTACGCAGATAATTATGCGTCCTATAAAACCAAGCGTTCCGGACAGTAACTCCGTGCCATTTGTAAACTCAAACCACGACCAATCGATCAAACACTCTCATGTGATAAAAAGCCCTATAGTACAACACTCGACTGTTACATCCACTCCGAGCTGCTATTCCAGCACCCAAATTGCCGGTAAGTGCTTTGCATCCACTTCATCCTTAGTCACCGTACATTGTCCAGCAGTAATGACGCAGTCTCTACATATTGGGATGTCTAAGAATGGGACATCGGGTAGCAACGCCTCATCCTTTGTAAACGTCACACAAACATCAACCCAGCAAGCAGTTAGTGAATCACAGCATTGTAACAGCCCGGTTTATGACCCTAATTCATTTAAGCCAATGGAGGTGACTTGGAAAAAGTACCCTTTCGTCCATGTTATCCAGCAATCAAAAATTCCCTCATCTCGCCCTAGTCATACAACCCACAATCTCATGTCTTATTCGGCGGTATCCGTTGGCCGCTCTAATTCACAGTTGCGTTTGCATGAAGGTTACATTGACACGCCGAGAACTTCATTCGTCGTAACCACTGATAAACACACGTATCCAGACAATTCTAGGACAAAGCATAGCACCTCAAAGAATGCTGCGGGGTGCAACTGCTTGACGAAACATTCCACATTTGTCGGGACTTGTCAAGATGCTTCTAAATCTATCTATAAAATAGCTTGTTCTACAGGGGAACAAGTGGGTTTATCCTGTGCCGTCCAGTCTTACAACGAGAAGCAACGGCTTTCATATATTGTAAACAATTCTGACCACTGTGTTCCAAAAGCCAACTACGCTTCTATTCCTTCGTATGTTAATCAGTGATATTCCACGCAACAAAGACAAGAGATGAGAGCTTCGTCTCCTGACAGCGGTACTGGGGCCAATTCCATCATTGACGTGGGCATTTCTTATCCGTACATGCTCGCTAGATCAAGTAAACAACGGCATACAAATGAGAGTTTGCGGCCCTACTACAATCCTGTGCATCAAATGAGCAATAATGGTGAACAATATCTGTTAGAAAATGTTCATCTAATCGAAATTAGTTCCTTAGTATTATGCATACATAAATAACTGAGTGAAACTAAGAAGGAACAGTGATTATGTCTTTCACCCCTAGTTTCCCCTGTTTTTTTCAGGAAATGTATACTGCTATATATTGTACCAACCAATGCTTATGAAAATCTCAATCGCGGTATGCTATATTATGTGAATGTGCAATTGTATATATTACTCTCCTTTTGCCATGAAACTCTTAATATCCCACCCGCTGGTTGATCTTAGTAGATGCGAAAGCTATGTTGAATAATGTGATAGATGTATTTAGCGAGGTAGCTAGCCAAATGTAATAGACATAATGTATGTGTTTAACTTCCGTCCCCCACTTCTACTCAGAGTTGAAGATAGGGTACGAATGTGCCGAGAGGAATTTCAAGCGTGATCGAATACGGTGGTCCCGTGTATCGAATAGCCACACGACACTACCAGTATGGATGGATGATAGTATATTATGTGATGGAGTGTTGTGGCAAATTCAACTATAACACCGTAAGCATGATGTCCTCCTATTTGTGAGAAAGTCCAGCAAACAGTTTAGGTTTTTGCATCGGTTGTTTAAGTTCACAGAAAGGTAAGAACTACACTGCTATCACACATAACGAAATCAGGAATGCCGGTACAACTTCTGAACTGTTACATTTGGAAAGAATCAATATTTGGCATAACACTAGGCTCACAGTTGTGGATAATAAGTTTCGCCGAATTGATCACTAACCGGATGCACATGAGACATCGATTTTCTCTACTGTTGGTAGCTATGCTGTTTATATCTTATGTGTGAAGATCGGTGGGTTTACCTAACAGTGAGAGTCTTGACCGCGTGTGTGCAACTTGAATGCTTTATACTGCTGGTGTTCTAGTGCACAAGTTCACTCAGACATCGCTACTCTGCATGAATTTGCGATTGGTGTTCATGAATTTTACTGGATTCTCTGATTAGAAAGGAATCCCGTTTCTGATTTATGCTCTCCGATTGCAACATAATTTCTAGAGATAGAATGTCGCCTGCAACTTGTGGTTTTTTCTTTGACACCAGCATAAACTCACACGTCGTTGTGTGACTCAGCAACTCAGACATATGAGTGATTCACACTATACGCAACTTTCTCGCTAACTCGTAAAGGCCATCGCCAGTGTAGTACAGCAGCCGACGTCACATTCCGGAGGAGCGAAATATCTGTAAATACAATTATCCCAAAGTGTGGGAGCACGGCGTTGCTTAATTTCGGGGCTGGTTTATGGATTTGCAGAATTCTCAGTGCCAAGCTAAGCAACACACTCATGGTGGCGTATAAGCCCTGATTTGCGTAACTCCTTGAGCCACATTTACATACGAAAGCTTATCGACATATTACTGCTTGAGTGATAGGCTACGATAAAATCATCGGCTTGCCAACCTCTTGCTGTTTAGAAGATCGCGACGTTCTCCATTTCAAAATGATGGTGTTCAGCATCTTTATGCACCCACATGAACTTTATCTGATCATGACCGTGGTCGGTTAATTTTTGAGTACCTTATGATATCGTCCCATTTACCCTTTGCTGTAATTGTCGCAATGTTGGCAGTAGATTTTGTAGATCACCACGGATGCTTCCATTATGCCTTTTCATTTTCACCTTAAATTGATCTTTGGATTGTTTTCGTTGTCTGCAAACGGTCTCAAATCTAAGAGAATATTTTAATTATTTCAGTTATACTAGGTAACTAGGATATTTTTAGTTGTTGCTATATCTGCGAAGATAAGCTGTGTTTTCAATTAGTGCGAATTGACACTTTTTGAGTATGATACCTGTTTGAACAGTCAGAAGTGATGACATCCTTGAACCTACCTTTGCCCTAGCTATCCCAATGTGCACGAGACCGTATGAGTAGGGTTCTCAACAACTGCTCTAGATTTGTCGAAAATCGTCATTATACTTCACAATCTGAACCGTATGTACTGAGTTTCGATGGACCCCATTTTCTATTATACTAATACCAATTATATTACGATCAAACCCAAGACTGGCAATTATCCAGCCTTCACCTTTCTTGTGGTTGTCCTGGGTGTCATCGAATACGATGTTAATGAGTTGCTGTCTTTGTCAACGTGTAATATATGTAAAAGACGAAAATGTGGTTCACTTAGTGTTCCTTAATGTACCAGCTGTACGGGAAGATGGTAATAGGTTTGCTGGCGCGCATACCTGTAGGTTATAGGTGGATAATTCTAAGAAATTCCTCAGGTATGCTTTTAGTAGACGCCGGTAGACTTTAAAACGTAAAACGTCTTCAACAATGGACCAATCTAGCTGGACTGGAACTCACACTTGATTTAGTTTCAGATGACAAGAAACGTACTTTAGTGTCAACTACTTGCATAAAGTCACATATACATCCAGGAAACATTAATCAAACTAACGCACAATTCGACGATTGCAATGATAATAGCAGCAGATCATTCTTTATGATTATGACCACCACAATCCAAGAATCCAATCGGGAACTGTCAGTTTGAATACCGCGTTACTTGTTATTTCTCTCCCTACCTCAAGACAGAATGTCCTAGTTTCTCCGCCAATGTCGCGAACACCGAGAAAAATTTGCAGGTACGCGGTACATGCTTTAATGACTGAAATTAGCTCGGTGTATTGTGGCATCGGTGGGGTAATTTTGCTCCATCTTGTATACAATCGTTGGAAATGCTTCACTGCACTGTCCTAGGAAGCATTCGACAGTAAACACTCAATATATAAATCACTCCTACTCACTAATATTCATTAATTGGCTTAGCAGCTTACATGCCACTTGATGGTGGCAGTTTGCAAACAAAGTAGTTGCACTAACAGCCAGCCCTGTTCAGTGCTTATTCATACCACGCGTGACATTGATGGATGAGCTTCTCTATATTGCATTTAAATATTAGTCATGTGGTTTCACCGCCGTCATTCATGGCTAATTGGTACAACGTGCCGGTTCGTAAGAGTAAGTTCATTGGTTCGATTGAGGCAGGATCCGGCGGGTGCGCGTTACTGACGAGTCCCGAAAAGAAGGAAGCGGCGGCTTAGCGCTTTCGTGTAGAGGTGTGACCGCCTGCTTGATTCTAGCATCGACAAACCTAATAAGAATATATATGCTTTACTCTTTTATTGGGTTCATCCCCCGAGCCTACCTTGAAGCGCGAATGTCAACCGGATGCTGGGTGCCAAGCCATTTAGCTATAAGAACGCATAAACCAAGAACTTTTGCGCATTTTCTCTGCAGCTGAAATGATTCGCAGAGTGGTACCGAACTGTTGTTTATTGGAACTTGTCAGCAATAAATATTGCACTCGAGGACTTCTGAAAGCGAATTCATCACCTTCAACATTTTGGTCATTGTCATATACCCTCGATGCACTATACACAACCGTGACTTATGTAACCAGGCAGCTGGCTAAGGTATCCGGTAAGATGTCCAACTGACATGTTACCGTCGGGTAGGTAACAAAGCTAATCCCTTAGGTAGGACTTTTGTCACTAACCGTCAAAATACACTTTATGTGATTGCCCGTTAATCCAGTAACTACTGTGACTAGATTGTTGAAATACATACGACCGGTTAGAGCCACTTCTGCACACTGAGAAATGGACAGCGTGCTTAGCTACGTCAGTTAATATATCGGCGTCTCCTATTTGAGTCCGATTTTGCTATTTCCCACATCAGGGGAGCAAGAAAGTACGAACTGGTTCACTAAGTGCGGCGTTTAAAGCGGGAAGCACTTCACAGTTTCAACTACTGTTTCTTTGATCAGACTGACCGAATTTCACCTAAACGTTACTCGTTTTCTTAATGAGTATTGTCGCTATCCATTAACGAGGCAACTGATTCAACCTGAGGTACAAACCTTTTTTAAGGAATTCCATATTTGATTTTGTCGATGCCAAACACAGTCATGGTATAACTGCTATCCAAGAAACTGTTAGCCGTTACACATCACTTCTGTTGTCCACCAGAAAACATCAACTTACTGGGCAATTGACACGCCAGCGTAGACTATTGGTGGTTTGTGCCGCTGTTTCTTAGATTTCTTTGCCCAGTCACAGGCCTCGGAGTAGCCTAAATTGAAGATGGATACCAGCGACCGCTAACCAAGAAAGGTGATTTACTTTTCAGTAAACCTAAGTGATACAAACCAACCTTACCAACCGATTGTCGGATTTTAACTAGCCTGACTTCAAATGCAACCGAGCTACAACCGAGATTGTGTCGAATGTCAAGACCTACAGTTGGTGCTCCAAAACCCGACAAGTAACTGCCAACCGCTGTTTCAAACGGTGCCCATGCAGCTCAAATACCTAGTGATCATGGCAACAGGCGCTAATCACTATGTGGTGATTTTCACACTTAATTTAAACTAACCCATTCTGAATGCGTCCAAACAAGGGTAAAAATAGCCGCCCACAACCGCGTCTACTATTTCAATATTCTTGTGTTGATAACCTAAAATCTCTAGATTGATAAGCATTTGCAAATGAAATCACAAATTATTGCTAGGGCTGCAACTTGGATTAATTCCGTTAACCTCCTCTTTTCAAGTAGCAACTAATGTGTCAGTGAAAACGATAAGTCAGTATGCACGGCTTACACATCTTCCATATTTCCGCAGTTGCCTGGAAGACAGTGCCGTTGATACCTGCATTAGCAATATCCCAATTGTGCTATAGGATAAAATTTTACTGGAGGCCATTGGAATTTGTTATATGTCCACCTGCTAAGTTAGATTTAAAAAATTACCCGCAATCCACTCAACCAATGTCTGCTTTTGCACCATAATAACGGCTGGCAATATACAAGTGCAGATTTTCGTAATTTTCTGCCAGTAATATCTTACGACAGATGAACGGTTGTCCTACTCGGAGAGTCTACGCTTTTATATCCTCGGCATCAGAGAGACAAAGCTTCAGTTGTGGCATAAAATGACTCCTTGACCGATGAAAAATCATGCTTCGGTAGACAAACAGACGCTTCATTTGCGTTTGAACCAGCTTCGGCATAACGTTAGTCTATTTCGTTTGTTGTGACGCGCTAACATGTGTCGGGGTGAGAAGCTACAGGGCTGTCTAAAAGTAACCCTACGAATTTTTGTTATTTAGCTTGTAGTTGGCGCTGAATATTTCGGTGGTTAGTGTAGGCTTAGGGACAGATTGTAGGAAGGTGGGTACGAATCAGCCAGTCCATTGACAAAACTCCTACACACAGTTCGAGCAAGGTTGCGTATAATTAAAACGTATTATCTCAAACAATCCGAGACGAAAAACAGAATTCGCATTCGCCTGTTCTAACTCTGCTCCATCA